GCAACTAAAATGATATGGTTCCCTGAAGTTAGCATGTAGCTACATGCACGTTAGCAGTGTAGTTGCAGCCAGGAAATGATTGTAAGGGGGTATAGCGGCACTTACGTGAAAAAAATCACGCATAAAAGCCTATAAACACAACTAGATATGTTCCAGCTGGAATATGATGTGAAATCGAGGAGAAATCAACAACATCAGCAATAAGATTTTGTGTTTCCTTGACGTTAACATGTAGCTACATGTACGTTAGGCTTGCAGCTAGGGAATGACTGTAACAGAGAAAAGGGCACTTTGTATCATGAATAAACACCAATGCTTCTGAACACAACCAGATATGTTCCAGCATGAATATGATCCAAAATCAGGAAGAAACAAACATCAGCAGCCACGATTAGGCGACATGTTTACTTGACATTAGCATGTAGCTACATGAGCGTTAGCGGTGTACTTGCAGCAGGGGACTGACTGTAACAGAGAACAGAGGCACTTTCTACTGTGAAAAATCTCTAATAAAAGTTTAAAAACATAAATGTACATGTTCCAGCAGGAATATGATGTGAAATCAGGGAGAAATTAACAACATCAGCAACCAAGTCTACATGTTTCTCTGATTTTAGCATCTAGCCTCAGGATCCAATCACACGGTGCACCACATTGCCCTTTTTTTTTATGCTGCTAGTTTGTGCCGCGCCTTTTTATTGTTGCTAGGTAACCACCCCATCACCTCATTACTGTATCCCGTGTAATCAATCTTCTGTTTATTTGTTTATTTATTTTATTTAGTTGACAGTTGACAGTACTTAGTATCTAGCTCATAAAACGTTGAGGCAGAGGGTGCTGTCTGTAGCTCTGGTTGAGGGTGAGAGGCTGTCAGCAGATAAACAGAAATCTGTGTGGCTACATGAGACCCTATAAAAGAGGCTGGATCATGGGAAGTACCACCAGTTGGTCCAGGAGCTTCTCCTCCATCATGGACGTTTCCAGACTTATGTCAGGATGACTCAGGGGCAGATGGACAACCTGCTGTCTATCGTCACGCTGTACAGCTCTGGGTATCCAGCAACCGCTACCACCAGTTTCTCCTCCATTGTTTACCAACTGTAAACTTGTTGTTGTGACCACCACAGAAGGCCCGCCTCTCAAGTCATCCGATTGGACAATGGGATGATGTAGGGCGCTGAGTTGAATTTTTTGTCAACTTAGCTCGGGTAAAAACGGCAGGCACCTAGAACACAGAAACATGAGACACGTAGCAACGCAAAAAGCTTCATTCTCATTAAATACAATTACAAAAAGCCACCTCCAGCTGCTAAAACACTTTGTGTGTGATCGGGGCCTCGTGCAGCTGTGTGGGCTATGTTATATAAGCACTTGCAGTATAACGTACGTGGAGCAGATGACCATATAAAGTAAATCCAGCACACGGGGATTTCGGTATTTAGCAGGTTTTAGCTGACAGGGATTACTTCTACATACGTTTGCCTCATTTTTGGCCATGTTTAATATGAACATCCTTCACTGTAACACCATATATAAGACACAAAATACAGAGGAGCGTAATAGGTCCCCTTTGAAAGCAGCGGCTTTGCCATAACTTTACATCACAGAGGAGTCCTTCTGGCTGACACACAGACGATGGAGTAGCACCATAAAGCCACCTGCTATATCACTGTCCACTGTGGGGGGATACAATAAAACGACAGTATCCGGCAAGGCAGGGGAGGAAATCCTTATAAAAGCCATCATCCGCTCCACTGAAATATGGCAAAATACGACTTTATAAGACATAACCATCGGGGTAACGATGGCGGAACTTAATAAAGCAGCCACTGCTCGCTGCCAGAATGGTGAAATATAGAGCAGACCATACGAAACATATCCATCCACTTAATGGTAATGACCTTTAATAAACCCAGTGTTAGAGTCGCTGTAACAGTGATGAATGGCAGCTCAAGGTTTATTAGTTTAGTCAGTGGAGGAGACGGAGGAAGAGAAAGATGGAGAGATGTACAGTACATTAGAACAGAGAGATAACAACATTATTGGTAAATCCTGTGCAGCGTATTTTTTTTTCTTCAAAGTTTTTTTTTGGTGTCTCTTAATGTGTTGAATCTCAGCATGAAGCCAATTCAGCTCCAATTTATCCCAGAATGCAAAGCTGACTCCAGATCATCCCAGAGCGGGCTTTATGAGTCTTATCGCCCGTCCGCCTGCCTGCGCGCCTCGTCCGAAAAACAGAAACAGTCAATTGTAACGATATCTCCTCTCTTTCTTTTCTATCGACACAGAGTAAATTAATTACATTGCTGTTAGACTTGTGGTAATCTTCCTCTGGAGTGATGCGCACACACACACACACGCTGTGTACAAAGGAGTTAAAGCTTTTTGAAACAACACTTATCTTGGCAGCGTATCCCGACGGTTTGTTTTTTAAACACACAAACAATTCAAACAGCAAAATAAACAAGTGCGCTATTGATTTCCCAGAGTGCAACAGACCGCTTATCTCTTTCGCCTCGCGGTAAGAGCTGACAGTTTCCTCATTAAAAATGAATTGGATTAGCATTACATTGAATGTGGTGGGAACACATAAACACACACACACATATTGTTTCTGCAAGCGATGAGGATTTCGCTCGCAGCCTAATTCAGACTTAACCTCGCTCACACACACACACACACACACACACACACCCAAGCACAAGTTTCTCACCGATACCTGCAGCTGGCTCGCATTCCTCGAGATTGCACCGGAGAAGGAGGGATTGTGTCAGCGAAGGAGGAAGAGAGGAGGAATCCATGAGGGAGAAGGAAGGAGGATGGAGGAGGAAGAGGAGGAGAGGTGGTGGGAGGAAGAGGGTGAGAGAGGACAAGCTGGAGAGTCTCAGCAAGCAGTCGGTGTTGAAGTGATAATGAGACATTGATCAGAGCCTCGCAGATGGCATGATGAAATACATGAACCCTGTCTGTCTTCTCTCTCCTACTGTCTCTTCTTCTTTCTTCCTCTCTTTCTTTGACTGTTTTTTTTGATTGGTGTTTTGTTCTGTCTCGTTCCATTTTCCACATTTCTGGGGTTCTGTGTTTTATCTTTGTCTGACTTTTTCCTTTTCTGCTGTTTAATTTTTTCTTTGTTCTCGCCGATCTCTCTTTCTCCTTCCCGATTTTTCAGTTTATCCTCTTATGACCTCCGCCAAGGAGGTTATGATTTCAGATAGTTTGTTTGTCTGTCAGCAGCATTACAGAAGAAACTACTGGCCCAGTTTTTATTAAACTTGGTGGAAGGGTGGGCCGACCATAGATTTTATTGATAACTAGATATGGCGCGCCAAGATGGCGCCCATTCATTCCAAAGGAGTTGCTCTCCAGGTGCATACACCAAAAAAGTTTCTAGTGTCCAGGTTTACTTCCGGGGTATGCGGCCCACTGAATATGCACACTGGTGTTTCTCTGAATGAGATTTTCCAATAGGTTGCATAGAAAGGAATCATGTGATTAATCAGCTGCTCCATCAGTTGATTGGGATTTTTGAGATCCAAACACTTTCGGTATGGTACCTTTGGAATCGAAAGTAACCCTTCAGACATGGTGCCTAGTAGGGCTGACCCAAAAAATTTAAAGCTTCAAAGCTTCATTCGATGGCACGGGATTCAATTGTGAAAAAAAAAGCTTCGGCGCTTTTTTTTCACGTTTTTTGGGGGGAGGCCTTAAACGCAACACTAACCCCCACCAGTCCGATACTGACAACGAGCGCACTCAGAGCTGGCAGACATGTCCAAGAGGTCATCAGATGTGTGGTTGCACTTTAAAATATGCCCCGACAACCCCCAGAGAGCAGAGTGCCAGATTTACCAAAAACAATTGGCACATCACAACTCAACAACAAATTTGGGAAATCACTTGAAAAACGTAAGTAGTAACTAGTAGGCCTAATATGCAGCTCAGGGGTTTAGTGTTGCTGTAGCCTACAGGAACAACACTCTGCGGCTTTTTTGGGGTCTGCCCATTGTTCCGACCATATTAAACCCATTTTTCCAAAGTCCCGTTGTTCCGAAATCATCATGATGCCCTGTGGTTAAGGTCTGGTTAGGTTTAGGCACAAAAATCACTTGGTTAGGGTCAGGAAAAGATCATGGTGTGGGTTAAAATGAAAAAGAAAGTGGCAAACACATAAGCTGTGAGCCTGCTTCTCCTCAAGCCTTTCCTAGCTGACCCAGAGCCGGTCTCGGCGCACCATCAAGGCAGAAATACGCCCGCCGGGAGCTGTTCAGCACCGCAGAGAGCTCCCCACACAACCCCGACCCCAGAGTTAATAACAGGAGGTTATGGTGTTTCATTCTCTTCTCTCTATGACACTTGTATCTCGACCAGTAGCCTACTTTTGTTGCGTTGCTGATCCTCTATGGTACACAAATACAGTATAGCCTAGTATAATCACATATCGGAACAACGGGACGTCGGACTAATGAGAGGTCGGAACAAAAGTAAGTTGTCACAGTGAAATTTAAGGTGTGTTGATGGATTCACGTCATCAACTCATGCACTGAGTAACATTACAAGTTAACGTTCCGCCTTAAAAGTTGCCGGCAGTCGGCCCAGTGAATGAAGTTATTTTTTCTCAGACTCCAGCTGTTGTGAGAGGCAGCAAAACATCCTTTCATTTTATAGTTACAGTTTACTAATAAAACTCTCCACAGTATGAACAGTGGTTACATGAGCCTCAAAACCAGACACAACTCAGCCCTGAGCAGAGTGACCGTCCTCTACTGACCAATCAGACTGCAGTGTTCACAGCTCCACCTTTTAGTACCAGATGTGTGTGCTAGGTACCACAACAGAGGGGGAACCAAACATGGGGACGCTAAGGAATGGTTCCATTAGTACCATCCACAACTTTTTACAGTTGAAACAAACAACAACAGCTCTGTTTATTAAAGCTGTATAAGTGCTGTGAGGTACTCATTTTATTCACACTGTCTCTCTTTCCTTTTTTGGCTCTGCAGCGGTGGAAGACAGGAAGTTGTTCATTGGCATGGTGTCAAAGAAGTGCAACGAGAACGACATCCGGGTCATGTTCTCTGCGTTCGGACAGATCGAGGAGTGCCGGATCCTCAGAGGACCTGACGGACTGAGCAGAGGTGTGTGTCGCTCCGACTCACTTCCATCCACACGTAATGCTCCTCCTGTGAATATTATTACCAGAACGGCCTCCAGCAGCTGCTGCTGTTCATTGTTTTCCACTTGTGCTGTGACTCAAACTCAAAGTCCTGCAGGAAGTCTTTACTACACCTCTGTGTGACAAGAGGTGGCTGGTTGAAGATGGTTTCTGAGCCAATGGCTGTGTCAGGGTATAAACAACTTTTTTATATGACAGTAACTGATAATAAATAGTATGGGCTCATTATTAGCATCTATAAATCTAAATAACTATGAATGCATCTGTTTTTATTGTATTTATTTTAAATATCATTCTAGTCACCTTCTAGTTTAACCATTCATTGCGTACTCTGCTTACTTAGAAGTATTTTGCTGCATAATAAGCAGCTCATTTGCATGTTTTCAACCCTTTTCTCTTCACTGGAAGTTTCTCCTGAGCTGTCAATGTCACAAGAAGACGTTGTTTTCTGTAAAGTTTGGTGATTAGTGTGTCCTCGCAGCAGAAAGAACATAAGAACCTATGGAGACGTAAACAGTTATTCTGCTTCCTTTCAAAAAACTCCCACATTTACCTGAAATAATCTTTTACTGTTGTGATCAGACTAAAATCTCGCCATAACTTGGCCAAGACATATGGTAGACTTCATGTCGGACCCCGACCAATCATCACTTGCAAAACACGATGTGAAAGCGACCGACTTTACTTTTCCACCCGAAGGCTAATCTCTGGATTGGATGTGGAATGCCTTAAACCTGCATTCTTTCTAATGGCCAGCAGGGGGCGACTCCACTGGTTTTAGGAAGAAGTATGGATGGTATGGACGTCTACGAGAAAATGACCCTACTTCTCACTTGATTAAATTTCTCACTAAATATTTTCCTTATGTGTTTACGGTCTCAATTGCTAGTTTCAAATCTTTTCCAACACAGCATAGTACTAATGTTATAAATTATGGTCCATTTAGAGTTAAAGGGTAAGTTTGGTATTTTTCAACCTGGACCCTATTTTCCCATGTTTTTCTAAGTGACTAATGGAGACATTGGTTTTTGAAATTGTTGGCAGTGTCAAAACAGGCTGCAGTGTAAAAACTCAGGGCATGTTTGCTCCATCACTGTACGTCCACTAAAAGTGTTTGTTTTCGCCACTGACAGGCTCAGCTTGTTATTCTAAGTGTCTGACAACATTGTGGAAATGATCTTTCCAGAGATAGACCTAACCCTCTCTAACACTAACCCTGGCTAAACAAAAAGGATCTCACTCTTCTTGGATTCAGTACCTCCAAGTCTGAGGTCATGGTTCTGGTGGATTGCCCCCTCTGGGTTTGGAGAAAGTTACTGTCTCAAGCGAGGGAAATCAAACATCTCGGGGTTTTGTTCATGAGTAAGGGTAGAATTGAGATGGATTTGGTTTGTGGGCACTGCGCCGGACTGTCGTGATGAAGAGGGAGCTGAGCTGGATGGCGAAGCTTACGATTTACTGGTCCGTCTACGTCCCAACCCTCACCTATTGTCATGAGCTCCAGGTTGTGACCGAAAGAATGAGATCACGGATACAATCAGTCGAAATGAGTTTTTCCCGTAGGGTGGCTGGAGCCTTAAGATAGGGTAAGGAGCTTGGACATCTGGAAGGAGCTCGGAGTAGAGCCGCTGCTCCTTTGTGCGAAAGGGGTCAGTTGAGGTGCTTCAGGCATCTGATCAGGATCCTCCTGGGCGCCTCCTGTTGGAAGTGTTTCAGGCACGTCACAGTGGTAGGAGGCCCCGGGGCAGACCCAGAACACACTGGAGGGATTATATTTCTTGTGTGGCCTGGGAACACCTTGGGATCCACTAGGAGGAACTGGAAAGCATTGCTGGGGAGAGGGATGTCTGGGGTGCTTTGCTTGGCCCTTGATGGATCTTACTCTTTAAAGATACGGTCTATCTCTGTAGGGGTCTTTTCCATAATAGTGTCAGACACTTCAATAATAACAGTCTGAGCCTGTCAGTGGCAAAAACCAGAACTTTCAGTGGACATACATTGACGGTACAAGCGTGCCCCGAGTGGTTACATTGCCTGTTCAATTCTGGACCAATTTTAAAAATCATCGTTCCCATTCGTCACATAGACACAAAATCATTTAGAAAATAGGGTCAAGATTGAAAAATACCAAACTTATCCTTTGAGTTGATTATTGAACAGCATATGCATAAGGGCATGGCTACCTTGTGATTGACAAGAAGGTACCACTGTAGTATTCATTAGGTTCTCCAAATATGGTCGCCTCTGGCTCCAAATAAAACAAGACAGTGACACAAATTGCCAGACTCGAGGCTTCAAAATCGTATTCCACAAACCAATAGGTCACATCTCGGTGGTGACGTCCACTTCCTTTATACAGTCTGGTTCCTCCTGACAGCACCAACAACAAATGTTAACACGTGTTAAGACAGTTCTCTGAATCAAAGTCAACCTTGAACCATTCATGGTCACTGGGCACTGAATGTTGGCTGTCTTTATCCTTCCCAGTCGCTAGAAAGAGTTTTGAGTGTGTCAGTGAGCAGCATATATAGTATGTGTGCAGAGAGTGAAAATGCAACCCACAGGTGTGAGTAATTTAATGCTCCTGAACCAAGAGTGATCGTCTTTTGCTTCAATGCGTCTGCAGTCGTGTGTGGAAGAGAGCTCTGTGCACATCGTAGAAGTTAAGAATTCTCCAAGAGAAGGCGAAAGAAAAAGGTGTATGGTCTGCATTTGGCGTAAGTGATGTCTTTGCTATTTGATGTAAGGCTACAGCCACAGAATACAGAAAAAAATGTAATGCAGGAAGAAACCAAACCATGTTGAGGTACAGTTGGTGCAGACCTCTCAAAAAATGGTGAATCTTCTGTCCAGGTTCCATCAATTTATCTGGACAAGTGTTGGTGTACACGTACTCTCCTTTCCTGCATCTTGTTGCTTAAAATCCCTGCAGAATAACTCAGTGGTGCAACCCAGTGTTGCCTGTGGCATGCCAGGACTAGGAACAGAAGTAAGAGCGATGTACGAACCAAACAAACCCAATGAACCTAGTATCCAAGTGCTGCCTCACATATTAAGGTTTGCATGTTTTCTTAGTGAATCACAAGTTCTAGGTCAAACTTTTGTATGTTTTAAATTCTGTCAGCTAAATTCATTATATCAGATCCTGTTTTCAACCAGCTGCTTCTTGCAAATTATTCCAGATTTCCTTCAAGATTTCGAGAGAGTCACATTAAATACAGATGAACCGCAGCGACATCTTGAGGCTGTTGTGGCCACTGTGAATACATGCTTCTCCTTTTCGCTCTATATATCTCTTTTCCCCTCTCTTTCTCTTTTTCCTCCCCCTCTTGCTCTCTCAGCCTCAGCCCCAGATCACCCCCCCACACACCTCCACCCTCTTCAGCGACCTCCTAACCTCCATTCACATCCTTCAACCCTCCCTGCCGTTCCAGTTTAGCCTCACCGTAAGCCAGTCCTAAGCTCTTTGATGCTCCCATAGTGAGGCTGAGGGCATTTCCAAACCGGCAGTTCAGATCAGGAGACATGTTGCTGCTTGTTGCATTTACAGTTGATTTATAGCAGCTATTTTCCTCCCCTTTCTGTAATAGGTCAGGAAAAGACAAAACAAATATGAAGGATTCATTGTTCAATCAGTGTTTTTCCTGACATTCTTCAGGTTATACACAACCTCAGTAAAGTAGGCAAGTGAACATTCTCAAACTGAACTGGAGCCAATACAGTACCTGGGTTTTAGCACCAAAGAGTACTTTTTTTAGTGCCTTAATTTGAGGAACCCTTTTCTTAATTTAACAAAAGACGTCAAAGTCTCAAATGTTAAATGCAGGCGTACAAGAAGTTTGCCCAAATTAAGTCTAAAATTGGCAAAATTTTTGTTTAAAAAGTGTCTTATCAAATATTAACTAAAGAAGAATATGAATCTGACAAGACTGTGTCAGTGTTACAGACACAAATCAATCGATACTGGAATAGCACTGTGGTTTGAAGTCTATCCCAAAAAAAGCAAAGTAAACATTGATTCGGCCACGCTGAGGCTATATCCACACTCAAGTCTGAAATGCATAACTTTTTTTTTAGGTTTACACCGAGCGCCGACACTACTGCCGTGTTTTCAAAACTGTACAATGAAGACTTCTTAAAACACTACCAATCCTGTTTTAGTTAGAAAACTCCTGGGTTGCGTTTTAGTCTGAACGAGGAGAGAAACTTTTAAAAACCATGACGCAGAGACCCAAGTTTGCTTTTGGGCTTTTTTGTAAAAGAGTCAAGCCAAAACATTACAGCATACATTTTGTGATTTCATCCTTCCTGTTTGGGTACTCTTTTCCCGTAACCATGGTTTCCTCAGATAATGGATAGTGTTCCAAATACCACTCTAATTGCTTTGCAGAGACTCCAGGTCTGTTTTCCGCTGCCTTGACTGTCATATACTCGTGATACTTCTAGTAACAGTTCCACCTCGTCGTCAGTTAAAGCAAAGGAACCTATGGTTTTACTTATCACCACTACTGTTCTTCCTATGTAGTATTTTCAAAAACATTCTGCAGCTAAGCAACCAAGTGCAGAGTAGACAATCCGCTTCCTTTTTACACCAGTATAGGTGTAGATTTTGTGGGGGCGGGGGACTCTACTTTTAGGACACATGCATTTGTCCTCTCTATAAACTTTTACAGTACAGAGGACTTTTATTTCAAAGGACTGCTAGAATTTGACTCATCAATGCAAGAATGCCTTCAGTAAAGTAGGTGTAGCATTATGCAACCTCAAAACCAAGGGTTGCAATCTGCAATGAGACGAAAAGCAGAAGAAACAACTACACATGGTTGAAGCAGGGAGTACCATGACATTTCCATCATAAATGTATGAGAAAACATTTCGTGCATAAAAATTAACTAGAATGCCGGAACCAAAATGTTTGACACTCAGAAATTCCTGGGGAAGGACCCCAAGCCCCCCTGCTTA